TTAGATTAAATTTGAATAGTCGTTTGAACACAAACAGTTTTTTTTTATGCAAAAATCGTACTTTACCTTCGTCGCCTTCTTTTTTATCTATAATAAAAAAGGAGGTAGCGATCAATGCATGCAGAATTAATTTGGAGCAGGCACATTGTATAGACAGATAGGTAGGAAATCATGATCGCGAGGGTGTGTACACGTACACGAAAAGCCGTACCAGCGTAAATTATTAATTCCTCGCCATTCACGACAATGGTACCACTTATCGCTAATAGAAAGGCACAAGGCTGGTCCAAATATCTTTTTACGTCTACCTATGAAATTCTTAATATCCCGTACAACTATTCGCATTACCATATGAATACAATATGCACATAAATACTACTATACTTTTCGAAACGGAAAAGAAGCGACTTCAAAACAACTCTAAACAGCAAAATGATTAGATAAAAATATAGACGACAGGCAGATTTAATAACTGAAAACTTCATCATCATAAGGTCGTCAGTCCTAAGACTGGTTGAACACACACTTCTACTCTTTCTTATCCTAAACTAATCTTCGCATTTCCCTATGACTAGAACAACCCATATCCTTAACAATTTGCGAACAGCAATCTAATCTAGCTCTACTTCCACCCCTCCTAACTCCCATTTCTGCCTCCAATATGTCTCTGACTAGACCTTCATGCCTGAGAAGGTGTCATACCAACCTATCTCGCCTATATCTTATTGACTTCCACAGAATCCTCTGTTCTCCTTTTCTTTCTAATATATCGTCATTTCTAACCTTCTCTATCCACGGTATCCTCATCATTCGCCTTTAACCGTCCATGTTTCGCACCCATACAGCACCGCGCTCCAAACATATACCTTTAAAAATTTTTCGAATTTCTGCAAATCTAAGTATACTAATCTTTTGCCCCTGTATATCTATCCCTACAGTTGTACTGCCTGCAAACTTAACAGGTGAAATTGTATCTGCATTAAAGTGGCGGATGAAAGATGAGATAAAAACAAGTCTAATAATTAGCATATAAGTTGGGCACAAAGTCCGAGAAAAGGCCATTGGCTGTATCTTTTTATTAATCATAAAATTGGACGTCTCGTTACAATCAAAATTCGTAATGTAACAGATGTACCTACACGATTTTATTTTCAGTAAACTAATAAATCGAAATAAACTAAACATAAAATTTTTAAACGATACGAGACACTCTTTTTGAGAATCAGTTACTAATTGAAAACTGTTATTTCTCCTACATAAATCTAGGATACTTTGAACGAACAAATCTTACACCTACGATTGTCATAAGTTGTGTAAAAGAAGATAATGAAACCGCCTGATTGGTACATTCAATCGATTTTCATTTAGTCCAACGCATTTACAATAGTAAAAAGATCGATTTCGACCTCGGATAATCTTTCACAATTAGGTGTAGAATATTAATTAATTCAGTAATCGTGATCACTAATTAAAAAGAAAAAAAGAGACGGCGTTAGTTGATTTGACAATTCACAAAAGCTAATGTGTAACAAATCCTTAATAAAAGTATTTTTTATCGTAGATCAAAGTTCGTTAACAAAATTAGTTACAATATGTTTCGAATGTCGGATTGGAAATTTACTTTCAAGCCCAGAAAGTACCAACAAATGACAAGGTTTCCCCTTGACCTGCCGCGACGTTTCTGAATAGTACAGGTCGTTGAAATGCCACACACACAATTATAAATAACAATCGTGATACAATAAAAAAATACGCTAGCAAAATTTCAAAAAAAATGCAAAAAACAAAAGAAGTTATAGGTCATTAGTGATGTCAGTTCACATCATATTTTTTTGAATCCCAACAGCTGATAGAGTAAACAATTTATGGGCTGTAAATAGAATACCAGGGACATGGGTGTGCCACCAATGAAGAAATATTGTGTTCTAATATCATGTGGGAGAGAAAAACGATGCAAGAAAAACGTACAAGGCATTTACTTTTGCACCCACTGATAAAAACAATACCTAACATATCTAAATTAATCCATTTTTTTACTGTCTGTTTTACAAGGACCTAAGCTGTTCTTATTACATGATTTCTATTTCAGGCACATCTTTTTCGATGATCATGATAATTAGGTGTACTTCTTAAACAGTTTCTCATTATAGAGCAAGATCCCAGAAACGCCAGATAGTACTTATTTTCTGAGTAACAAAATGGGTGGGATAGGGTAGTGTTAGTATGTATACTTTGAACGTATGCATATCTGCTGACTTGGACCTTGCAGATACTAAAGGTACTTACAAACATTATTCACTTTTCTTAAAGGCTAAGTACTGATTTTTACATAATGATTCACAGAATATTAGTCAAAATCAACAATCAATATTGCCAGACACTTCCAATCGACGGTAATTTCTGCGAGACTCTACAAAGTTCACAAAAAAATCGTAATTGTACTTAAGTCTGAGTTTTCATTTTTAAATAGGATACTTAAGGAACTATTTCAATATTTTTTGTAAGCAGCCAGACACATTGTAATGGCCAAACATCCCCTAAACAAAATTTAAATGTAGCTGTATTACTTGTACAAAAGTGTACTTAAGTACAATTACGATTCTTGTTGTGAACTTTAAAGCGTCTGGCAGAAATTACCGCCGATTGGGAAGTGTTTGGCAGTATTTATTATTAATTTTGAATAATATTCTGTGAAACATTATGTAAAAATCAGTACTTAGCTTTTAAGAAAAGTGAGTAATGTTTTTAAGTACCTTTAGCACCTGCAGGGTCCAAGTTAGCAGATACGCATACGTTCAAAGTAAATGCTAACACTACTATATCCCACCCATTTTGTTACTCAGAAAAAAAGTAATGTCTGGCGACTCTGGTATCTTGGACTATTATAGTATAACACTGTATTTAGTAGTCATTTCGAATTAAATTGATGGGTGGCATTACCGTGCACGTGGACAAGCACAATGGCAACGCGATTTTGTAAGAGACACTTACATATTTACCTATGTCGTTTTCCCACACTTTTAAAAACGATTCGTTTTTATTTAACTGGGAAACGTTACGATTATCAACCTTGACTCGGATTTTTTTATTTTGCGTTAATGCTATTTTATACATGCTTACATTATATAAATGCTACATGTACACATGTGTACACAGCTTTCACATTATATGCCTGATGTTAAATATGGTATGATGGTATAAAAAGTACCCTCAAGATCAAAACAATATTAAAATGAGTCGCAGGCTTTCACGGCCGATACTCTATGAAAACAGTTGAGTTTCTGGATACTGCAGGACATTGAGCCGCTGACCATGATAAGAAAAGCATTGAAGATGCCATCTGTTATGTATGACGAAACATTTGCACGTAAACAAAGAACCCGGCAACAATATCCAGAATTTCAACCTTTTCATTCAATATTAAAATGCGCGATCACCGACCGAAAATTAACAAGAAGTATCGGACAATGACATGTTTATATCCAAATGAATTAACATTTTAACAATTTTTTACCGAAAGATTAAAGTCAATGATTTTCTATAAAATCAATTATTCTACTATTTTTATTTTATTTATAACCACTATTTACTGTCTCGATTGTGATGGTTTAAAAAAATTGACTTCTAAACAAATTAGCTAATTATTATTTTATTTGACTATAATGGGGAAAACTTTAGCGAACTTGGTCTTTTTCTAAATTTTCCAGACTCAACTAAAACGATCTTTCGTATATTTACTACATTATATTTTAATTTTTAGATGCTACTCAATCATTT